CGGAAATGGCAGGTAAACTAGTAAAACCGTTTTAGAACATGTGTATTCCTGTTAACCATGCAAGGCGATTTATAAATGATGCATGATGGAGACACTCTGCAAACTAAAAAAAATACAAAAGGCCTGTAGAAGTTTACCTCCAGCGTATAGCAAAGGTACATCTAAAGACAAACGTTTTGGTTTTTATACTGATCGGCTGTTGAAAAGAATAATAAACGCCTGTTTATTTTTTTTCTAGCAGTGTATCATTAGGGAGATTTCCCTTATATTTCTTGTCCCAGATATACAAAAAGAAGCAAAAGAATATTTTTCTAAAGTGAGGGGAAAATCCTTACCTGAAGACTTGCACTCTATTCTATGCAATTTTGGATTTCCCATTTATTTGTGTCTTGGTGAGAATGGTCACCAGGACAAATAGAGGATGAATCTGCCATGAGGGACATAAACAGCAATAAAACATGATGTGATTCTCACCCTCCCATGTTCTATCTGGAACTTTTTTTTTTTCTTTGGTAAGAAAATTGTCCCAACACCTAAGGGGGAATCTCTCTAAGGCAGGCCATACATTATGCAGTTTTTTTTTTCCCTACAACCATGAGAATTCCTTTTGCTGTGCTATTGTGTTCTGCTGGCTGAGGGCCTTCGTTGCCAGCAGAACATAATGATCACTGCTGGCAACTATAAAAAAAAAAAAAAAAAAAATCTGACAAGCTGGTTGTACTGAAGTTGATTGATAGATTGACTTCAGTATAACCAGCCTGCCCACAGATGGATTTAAATTTGACTAGTTCCTGCTGAACCGGATGAATTTCAGTGAGTCTATGGCTGGCCTAACCGAGCCCCAGACACCAGTAAAACCTGGGGTTCTAACCTTTCACCATTCTATCCAAATCAACAAAAAAACGTATTGGGTATAGATACACATGAATACAAAAAATAAACTGTTCCGCATGGCTTGATGCAGACGTGCCCCCATAGCTATCCTATGCATGCAAGCAAACCTCCAGTGAGAGGATCGAGTCCGGATAGTCCATACCAGGGGCGGACTGACAACTCATGGGGCCCCCGTGCAATAGGAGATCATGGGGCCCCTGTGTCCTTTCCCACACTCAAAGCACACCCAAAAAAGGCTATAAAAGGTACCAGGGGCATTTCATGGGGCCCCCTACTGACCCTGGGCCCTCGGGCTGTGCCCGAGTGTTTCGAATGGTCAGTCCACCCCTGGTCCATACTGAAGCCCTACCCACCCTAATCCCAGCATTTCATACTAATCATTACGAACTCCCTGCCCCCAGTGCACCCCAGTGGCTCATCCTTCATAAATGATGCACTTCTAGACTGTATTCCCAGCCCTCTCAATTTTTCTACTCCAGTTTGGTGTTTAGACAATACCTAACACTTCTGTTTTTTTGCCTCTTTGATGCAATGGAAGAAAGAATTTACAATTCAAAGATTCTTTTCAGGAGTTTTAGCTGCTTTGTTATATGCTGCACATATCTGAACTTTGGAAGTGGTGCTGTATGTATCCTATTCTGGACCACTGAACCCAGAAGGATATGCAGGACATTACTTACTTCAAATATTCTGTGTGCTGTGCATTAACTCTCCAAATCATTGAGCCATGTACACTGTGCTGTAAATCACCTTATTTTTCAGACCACTGTACTCAGTGTGAACTTTACAGACTGTACTCTGTATTGCAAATGACATTTTCCTGACCATTGCTTTCATATTGTGCTGAAGGTTATATAGTCTTAACTTCTTTGTGCTCTGTTGTGGATTGTATTCTATGGAACACCTTTGTCTGTACATGAAGCTCTTTTGATATAATCTGAACTACTGCACTTTAAACATTGTGCTGCACATTTTATACTGAAGACTTGTTTACACTGCTGTACATTACATACACCACAGTTCTGCATTCTGTACAACATACTTTTCATATTACAGACAACTGATCCCTGCATGCTGTACTGTGTGTTACATATTCCAGCGTAACTCAATTTTGGTGCACATAACATGCACCTGACTGCTGCATTATCTGTACTATGCTGTACATTACACACTCTAGGCTGCTAAACCATTCTACTCTGCATGTTGTGCTGTGGATTATACAGGTGAAACTCAAAAAATTAGAATATCGTGCAAAAGTTCATTTGTTTCAGTAATGCAACTTAAAAGGTGAAACTAATATATGAGAGAGACTCATTACATGCAAAGCAAGATAGATAAAGCTGTGATTTGTCAGAATTGTGATGATTATGGTTTACAGCTCATGAAAACCCCAAATCCACAATCTCAGAAAATTAGAATTTTGTGAAAAGGTGCAATATTCTAGGCTTCCTCCATACTCTGGGTCCTTGGTTTCCAAATGAGATGCAAAGGTTGCTCTTATCAGAAAAGAGGACTTTGGACCACTGAGCAACAGACAAGGTCTGTTTTTCTTTAGCCCATGTAAGACGCTTCTGACGTTGTTTGTTGTTCAGGAGCAGCTTGACAAGAGGAATACGACATTTGAAGCCCACGTCCAGGATCCGTCTGTGTGGTGGCTCTTGATGCACTGACTCCAGCCTCAGTCCATTCCTTGTGAAAGTCCCCTACACTTTTGAATGGCCTTTTCCTGACAATCCTCTCCAGGCTGTGGTCATCCCTGGACTTGGCACCTTCCCACTCTGCCAAAAGCACCAAAACCTGGTTCAATGACCGTGGGATTACTGTGCTTGATTGGCCAGCAAATTCACCCGACCTGAACCCCATAGAGAATCTATGGGGCATTGCCAAGAGAAAGATGAGAGACATGAGACCGAACAATGCAGAAGAGCTGAAGGCCGCTATTGAAGCATCCTGGTCTTCCATAACACCTCAGCAGTGCCACAGGCTGATAGCTTCCATGCCACGCCACATTGAGGCAGTAATTGCTGCAAAAGGGGCCCAAATCAAGTACTGAGTACATATGCATGTTTATACTTTTCAGAGGTCTGATATTGTTCTATGTACAATCCTTGTTTTATTGATTGCTGTAATATTCTAATTTTCTGAGATTGTGGAATTGGGGTTTCATGAGCTGTAAGCCATAATTATCACAATTATGACAAATCACGGCTTGAACTATTTTGCTTTGCATGTAATGAGTCTATCTCATATATTAGTTTCACCTTTTAAGTTGCATTACTGAAATAAATAAACTTTTGCACGGTATTCTAATTTTTCGAGTTTCACCTGTATACTTCATACTGCTCCACTCTGTTTACTACCTTATTTTTTTTAGGACTTTAGAATATTACCCTACTCAAGGCTGAGGAAACTGGTGAAACTGGAATAAATGCTATAAAAGAAAGGAACTCCCTGCAAATAGGTGCTGTTTGCAACCATTACCCAGTCCAACATTGGGATTGCTGAGGCAGCAGCCAAAGGTATATGCATGCTTTTGCTGTTGTTTTTGGCAGGTGCTGCTGTCAGTCGAGACCCATTCAACTAAATGGAGCCACTGTGCAAGTGCCCCGCAACTGCATGCTTCTGCAGGGTCCAAGGGGTTAAAAATGTATATTATATAGGGCGCACTTGTTGGAGCCCTACCTCTGTAGCTATAAGATAAAGGTGCCAGATGGATATCAGGGATGGATGGGAGCAGTAACACTGAGGCAGCTCTTCTTAGAGTGGAAGCAAGGCTCTAATGCAGTAACAAAAAAAAAAAGAGGAAGGCGCCTCTAAGTGCAGTATTGACAATTTATCTTGCAAGTGCAAATTTTCCATTGTTTACTGAATAAACGATTAAAAAGACTCATCGTGTGGTAATTAGATCCAGGTAGGACATCCAGCCGTCCAGCAGCAAACTATGCCTATAGGATCAGGAAGTAGAGTCCAGGATGTGCCTGTGCATCAAAAATGAAGCTTGGAGAGCAGATTCAGATGTAGCAGTTGAAGGGGGCGGTAATGCATTTCGGAGCATGCTCAATAGGCTCCTTATTCAGAGGTCTGAAGAAGGAGCCTATTGAGCATGCTCCGAAATGCATTACTACCCCCTTCACCTGCTACATCTGACTCTGCTCTCCAAGCTTCATTTTTTATGCACAGGCACATCCTGGACTCTGCTTCCTGATCCTATAGGCATAGTTTGCTGCTGGACGGCTGGATGTCCCAGGGCTAATTTGCAGTGATTCTTGGCCTTATAAGTCAAATTTTCCATTGTTTACTGAATAAATTGTCAATACTGCACTTGCGGTCCTCTCTTTTTCCAAGGGGTTAAAGCAGATGGTGAAAAAGCAACACACCACTGCCTGTTTAACACCTTGTTTGCTGTATTGCGCACAGTTGCAGGGCATTTGCAGTGTGGCCTCATTCACTTGAATGGGTCATGTTTGGCGGGTGCTATAGCCACCAGCCATGACAGGGCGTAGGAGCTAGCACTACACAGGAGACCTCTTGCTCCCTACTACAGCTCCAGCTTTACAAATAGTCCCTCTGCATTGCACTCTGATGCTCAGCAAGCCCTGGCGTGATCTACCAATCACCTGGCCGAGATCTACTGGTAGGTCAAAATGTACTGGTTGCTGACCCACACAGTCACTGTACTTATGACACTGGCTGGGAAGGGGTTAACATCTAGGGGCAATCAAGGGGTTAATTGTGTACCTAACCATGTGTAATCTGTTCTGATTTTACTGTACTATATGTCCGTTTTTTTCTCCCTCCCAAAATCATTGGCTGAAATCAGCTTTCAAATTTGTGCTGTGTCCAATCACAGCACATGTTGGCACGCCTGCAGACCTGGAAGCAGGCAGTCACGTATATATACGTGACTGTACCTCAATTTACTGTCGCGGGGCGGCAAGTGATTAAGCTCAGCTTTTAGAGACAGAAATAAAAAAAAAAAAAAAATCCCTTCTGGTTTGCATTTTTGAACTAAGTCTACATACTGCTATACTCTGTCTACTACCCTGGCAGGAAAAAAAAATGCTAAATGTTCTTAAATGCTCCTAAACACCTGTACAAAAATGCTCTAGAGCAAGGCTTGAAATTTCCACTCACCTGTTTGCCAATGGCGAGTGGAAATTCTGGTGGGGGCGAGTGTTTCTCCCAGGGCCATCTTGCTGAGTAGGCTCGGAGCTCAGGCCGGATCTGTCTTTGGCACTGGGAGCCATCAGACTGCTCAATAGCTGAGCGCAATGAAAGCAAAGGAAGGAGTGTGTGCTCTGCTCTCTACCCCCCCCCCTAGAGTGCAGTACCCGGCTCTGTGAGTGAACAACGAAGTACTGCAACTTGTTATGGGGGGGGGGGGGGGGTGTACATGTGTGTGTGTGTGTCTGTGTATGCATGTACAATTGTACATGTGTCTGTGTGTATGTACATGTGTATCTGTACATGTGTCTGCGTGTATGTACATGTATGTGTTCGTGTACATGTGTCTGTGTGTATGTACGTACATGTGTCTGTGCATGTGTATTTCTGTGTATGAACATGTATCTGTGTGTATGCGTGTCTGTACGTACCTGTGTGTATACATGTGTCTGTGTGTGTACATGTGTCTCTGTGTGTGTACATGTCTATGTGTGTGTACAGGTGTCTCTAATTGTGTGTGTTTGTTGGTGGCAAGTAACTCTAAAGCCTGGCTAGTAGCTCAGGACTTGAATATTTTAAGCCCTGGCCTAGAGGTATGTGAGCATTTTTTTTTCTGCCAAAAGAATAGTTTTTTTTTTTTTTATTGGCATGCCCAGTGTGCATGGACCCTTAACCACTTCAATGCCGGCACTTATACCCCCTTCCTGCCCAGGCCAATTTTCAGCTTTCAACGCTGTCACACTTTGAATGACAATTGCACAGTCATGCAACACTGTACCCATATTGACATTTTTTTGCACACAAATTGAGCTTTCTTTTGGTGGTATTTAATCACCACTGAATTTTTAAATTTTTTCATAAATAAAACAAACCACCTGAAACTTTTGAAAAAAAATGCACTTTTCTTTCGTTTCTGTTATAAAATTGTATTTTTTTCAAATGTTTCTATTTTTTTTATATAATTTTTTCTTTGTTTTACTCTTTTTTGTTTCTGCACACTGTGACCAAAGCAATACAATGTTACCATAGTAACATTGAACTACTCTGCAAGTGATCAGGATTTTTTTTTTAACACATTATGATTGCTAATACCAATGTATTTCATTGATATTTGCAATCATTGTTACTGAATGAAACTGATTCATTCAGTCTTTTGTTGTGATTAGCTGTGATTGGGTAAAGCTGATCACAAGATACAGATGGGCTGTGATTGGCCCTGTCTGTATCATGTGACTGCCTTGACCAGTCACAGCTAACAACATAACTGTATACAATGGATGGCATGAAGGAAGCCATCCATTGTATGCAATTGACGTGATCTGCTGTGATTGGTCACATGGCACTGGGAATGGGCCAGTGTAGTGATATGTCATTGGCTGTGTCCCGTGGACACATTCAGTGACAGATTGTGTGGCCCCGCAGCCGCGTGAGTGTCTTGTTTTGACAGGATGTCATGTGATGCCTAGTCACAACAGCGAGGGTCCTTCCCGGTCATCAATCTGCAATAGGCCAGGTGGGAAGGTGTTAATATCCAAAGTGTCCAGAGTGATCAAATAGCAGTAAAGACTTCTTTATTTACTGCGTCTTCACCTGTACAGTGGGTTCCATTCATACGATACTTAGTAGGTTGATTACTTTAAAGCGATTCTAAAGGTTCTTTTTCGGGGAGACTATAACAAACATATCTATACTTACCTGATGTGTGCAGTGGTTTTGCACAGAACAGCCCTCATCCTCTTCTTCTTGGGTCCCGCGCAGGTTCTCCTGGCTCCTCCTGTCTGTCGGGTGCCCCGCTGCAAGCAGCTTGCTATGGGGGCACCCACTGGCTGTGATTGACAGTAGTGGGAGCCAATGGTTCCCGCTTGCTGTCTCAGCCAATGAGGAGGCAGAGACCTGGGACAGCCAAGGCTGTCATTCACATCGATGGGTTGCGAAGACTCTCAGGTAAGTATTGAGGGGGCAGAAGGTTTTTTACCTTCATGGAATACATGAAGGAAAAAAATCAGCCTTTACAACCACTTTATAGTAATAAAAAAAAATGAAATTGCGGAGGTGAAGCATATCAGAATGAATCAGTTATTTGCATTTCGGCCCACACTATAAATGACAGCTGGCATGTGCCTGTTATGGAGTAGGTACTTTTCTTATTTTCTACAGATCAGCTTTACATCTATTGTGTCTTTATTTAAAGAAGCCTTGTAAACACTAATCATGATGTGCAAAGTACAACATCCACAACGACAAAACCGATTTTTCATTGTCTTGCAGGAAGACTATTAATAGATGAATTTTGATTGGTTGTGAGGGGTCAGGACTACCAATTTCCCTGCACCAGAAAATCTAAGGCACATTAAAAAAAAATGAATTTAGTATCTTGATTTCTCCTGGGACACACATTTCATTATTCTGGAAATATACTGCAATAACCTCATATCCAAAACTTTTTTTCAGCAGGAACGTGGGGGATTTATGTAATGGCAAAGAGTGCTTGGGTGTGCTGGATAGTCTGTTGATGCTGACCGGTGAGCAGGGGCGGACTGACAACTCATGGGGCCCCCGGGCAATAGGGGATCATGGGGCCCCTGTGTCCTTGCCCAAACTCAAAAAAGCCTATGAAAAAGGTACCAGGGGCATCTCATAGGGCCCCCTACTGACCCCGGGCCCTTGGGCAGGGCCCAAGTTTCCAAATGGTCAGTCCGCCCGTGCCAGTGAGGAATCTCTGAGAAGATCTATTTTTGCGGATGGGATCTATTGTTGCTGGCTGCAACTGCTTTTCTTGCTATCATTACCAAATTCCATACAAATTACTTAGCACAACAAAATGATACAAACAAAAAAAAATAATTTGCGCTAGTAAAAAAAATATATATAAATAAATAAACATATATGTGAATGAATATCCCAAAACAAATATAGTCCAAAAAGTGAAAAAAGTCCCCAAAAAATTATATAAAAAATTCTAATAAAGTAAAAAATATAATAAAAAAACTGTGACAATCCACCACCAAATATACTAAAGTAAAATGATACCTGGGTCTGTATTCTATAAATATTGAGAGGTAGGTAGCTGGTTGAACTAAGGGACAATGCTCAGAGGTGGGTAGGGAGCGGCGACAAGAGGTGACTCAGAAGGGTGGGGTTCCTGCACCTATTCTCTGAGAAAAAAAACGCTGCTCAGATCTCTAATTATTATGAAGAAACCACAGGGCTTGTTTACATAATACTATGGTATGTATATTAATCGCTTCCCGATTGCCCTATAACAGATATACTGCTACAGGGCAGCATGGGAGTGCAAAATCACATGTATATATACGTGATTTTGCATTGGCGGGTATGGGGCACACGTGCCGTACCCGTGCTGCCGTTTGCGGCCAAGGCTGTCAATCAACGGGCAGTGATTACTCGCTGGCGCCCGGTGATTGCTGAGTATCTCCGCCGGGAAAGAAAACTGTATGTAAACATTACAGTTCTCTTCCCTGTCAACTCGTGCACACTGCTTTGGATGGCTGTGCACAGTACAGCCATCCAAAGCAGTGTGATTACAGTGAAGCACACACACACAGCTTACTGTGAAACAGCACACCGTTAACCCTTTAATCACCCCTCGTATTAACCCTTTCCTGCCCAGTGCCTTTAGTACAGTGTCAGTGCTTTTTTTTTTCTAGCACTGATCACTGTATTGGTGTCACTGAGGATGTCAGTGACACCAAGTCAGTTCCCCCCAGTGTCAGAATGTCTGCTGCTGTCCCGCTATAAGTCACTGATCGCCGCCATTACTAGTAAAAAAAAAAATTCCAGTATTTATACCGCCATTTGTAAACGCTATAACTTTCACATAAACCAATCAATTTACATGTATTGGGATTTTTTTTAGCGAAGACGTAGCAGAATAAATTTTGGCCTAAATTTATGATGAATTTAGATTTTTTTATTTTTTTTTACTGGACATGTTTAATAGCAAAAAGTAAAAAATATTGATTTTTTTCTCAAAATTGTCGGTCTTTTCTTTTTTTTTTTATAGCGCAAACAATAAAAACCGCACAGGTGATCAAATACCACCAAAAGAAAGCTTAATTCGTGGGGAAAAGAAAGGCGTAAATTTCATTTGGGTGCATGACCGCGCAATTGTCAGTTAAAGTAAAACAGCACTGTAACTCAAAAAAATGGCCTGGTCAGGAACGGGGGGGGGGAATAAATCCTCTGGAGGGCAAGTAGTTAGCTAATAATCTAATAACTCTGTCAACTGTTCGGTATAGAAACAAATAGTTTCAAAATACCAATTTACTAGAATATGCTTGTTCACTATTTGCCTTATCTGTTCGTTAAAAAAACACAAGTAGCGTTTGCATCAAAAAAATGAGGCTATATGTCGAGTCTGGGAGTTGTTAAAGCTTGTCCGGTCTATGGTTACGCAAGGTAAATGTGCCTGTAGCATTATTGTACGTTTGCAGTGTGTTTGAGAAGCGTTTGTCAATTATCAGGGAGGTAGGAAAAAAATAACACCACAAAAAAAATCACTTGAAGTTCACCTGGGGAGCATTCCTAATGCTCGTTAGACGCATCAAAAAACATGCATTAACACTATAGGTGCGTTGATTAGCAATAGTATCAGTGTTCGAATTTTGGGAACGTAGCCTTAGTGTGTTTGGTAGGCTTCATACTACATTGCACCTTGCCTTGTTAAAAAATAAAATGCAAAAAATTCTTCTGTTTATGACTTAAAATCTGATCTGAATAGCATCTATTTCTCCAAACATATTTTTTTTCTGAGATAATCCGTATTAAAACAGTATTTTTTCTATCCCAAGACTGTGGTGATGCGGTGAACAAGGAGTTAAAATCGTAACTGTAACAGTGCAGGGCTTATTGCTAACAGACTACAGGGTGCTCTTAAAATGGATTGGGAGCTCTGTGTTTTTAGCCAAAAAAGGAAATGAAAAAGGATTTGTGAAGGGTTGGGTTTGGGGGTGGAGGGAGCATGGGACACATCTGGATTTTATCCTTGTCATGGGTATTCACGGCACCATGTCTCCATTGTGGAAGAACTCCCAGCAGCTCTCCTGGACGTATGTTACAAAGGAAACTGTATTAACCCCTTCTATACAAGATGCTATAGTATGTCTGAGTAAAATGACTATTAACTATATTACATTGTTTGCTTAACTGCAAATATTGAGATTTGCTTTTTCTATGAAACGTTATTTAATCTAATGTACTTTTATGATACTGTATAGGTTAGACTAATTCCACGGTCTATAAACTATGCATTAAAATGTACCATAAAATCTGTGATCTTCCTTATCTGGTTTAATCTGACACACCTGGACATCTGCAGAAAATCTGAATCATGCAACAGTCAATACAGCCACTTGATGACTGCACATATTTGCAGATGGGATCGCATCATCACAGGCTGAAATCCTGGCTGTTCAGTATTTGAGCAGATTTTTTTCTTCAACTGAGACATATATACAAATTGATGACAGATTGAGCCTCT